GGATGAGGGATTCGAAGTTTCGCGGAACTTCGTTCAAGTTTCAACGCGCTGCTCTCGAGAGATGCAACGGAGGCAATAAATAAAAAGCGAATTCGGAATGAATGCAAGGCCGAATTTCTCAAATTTCGGACGAGGTAAAAATCGCTTAGGTAAATTTTTAATGTTTAATCAGCCAGGATCATCAACGATGAGCCGAAGTTCGATCATTTGATTAAATGAATGAATGAATGGTTCGAGAATGTGAAAATTAAAGCATCGAAGCTTCGATACGCGAGATCGTCCTATGATCGCGAATGGGAGAAAGATGACGATGAGGGATAATGACGATGACACACGAGGAATAAGAAAAAAGGAGAAGGAAGAAGAAATCCCTGCTTCGTTACGCGGGAATGGATCAATTATTGTGGATATTCGATGGTAGTGAAATAGCCGGTTGCGCGACCAATCATCATCAATCGGGGGAGTAACACTCGCGTGTAATAATGTTCCGTTTTAATACAGATCGAGCGGTGCTTCGTTCACCTGATCTCGCCGATTACGCTCGGCACGGCTCGGCTCGGCTCGGCTCGGCTCGGCTCGTCGCGACACGACTGCCCGAATCGACAAAGCTCTCTAGTTAACGATAATGGTAATAATAGAAGAACGATTAGCCTACGGGGGAGTCTTACAACGTAACTTACGTAGCGCTACAAGGTATCTCGCATCGGCTCTTAACTCCTAATATCCGCCTCGCTTCACGGGAAGCTATGAGTGGAGAACGTCTTTAACCCTTCGACCGGTAGCCGTTCGAATCCATGCGGGGGAGGAGGGGGAGGAGAGACTCGTTTCCACACGTAAAGAGGGATGCCGGTCTGCGGCATCTCTCGCGCTATCACAATAAGTTATAAGTTTCGTCGAAGGGGAAACCCTCCGCGTTCCGGGGAATTGTACAATCTACGAGTTGAAGGATTAAAGTTTGTTCATAGGAGACGAGAGCGTCTCCCGATCGCATTCCGCAACGGTTGCAACGAGCAGAGCTATCAGCAATCGATAGTCGCAAATTGTTCACGAGAGAGATTCGCGAGTGTGTTCCGTCTTATTTCAATATCGGATGATCAAATTATGGATGAAAAATCGATCATCGATTCGTCTGCATCGGCACGCAAAAATTCTTCGCCTGATCTTCATTTTTTTTTTTTTTAAGCGAACGCAAATTCTTTTCAATTCTTTACACGAATTTCTAACAGTGCTGCCCAGAATTTATTTAACTTTGGGCTTAGGATTAACATATCGATATTTACGCCTTTTTTACTTCTACCTCAGGGACAAGACTAGTCTGAGATCGTTGCGAATCTTGGATGTGTACATATTTAGAATATACGTACAAAATTTTATTTTATACGTATTATTATATGTATATATTTATATATTTCTAATAATTATTATAAAGTATATTACAATTAAGAATAATATTATAACAACAATAATAATAATAATAATGATGATGATGATAATATAATATATTTTTAAATAGCATTGACATACATCCAAAACGTTTACGAAATCAAAAGTAGGAAGGACAATAGGCGTGTCAATTTCAAATTCAAAACTACAAAAATTCGGGGAAGCACTGTTTTACAAAATCCATGATTGTATACGAATGGGATTTAGTTTGCAGTTCAAACGATGTGATCAAACTCTGCGACGTTTCAAGGATCCGTCGTCCTTCCCATGCGTCCTCCAGACAACGTCCCGACCTGCTATCCAACGTCTCCACATTCAATTTCCAAGGATTCCGGCATTTGGCCAAGAGGAGGAGGGCTCGCGGCGACCCACGAAAGAAGGGGGGGGAGGTCAGCTACGTCCTTCACGGTCCGCTGACCGTGGCGGCAGAGTGACCCGTCACCAAGCTGTCCGCTGCCGCAGCCGCAGCCGCCGCTGCGGCGGGTTTGAGGCGGAATATCGATTGCAGGGACGCGACTTCGGACGCGAGGCGGTCCAGTTTCATCTTCACCTCCCGATCGCTCTCCGAGACCGCGGTGACGGTCGGCCCGGTCCATTCGGCGCCCAACGATATGCCGGAGTCACGCTCGTCGCTGGAGCCCTCGTCCCAGGGCGGCGACGCTCGCGGGCCGGGTTCCTGCTTGATGCCCTGAAGCGCGAGGAGCGCGCTCGCGGCATCCTTGTCGCCGATGCGCGACTTATGCCTGAGCTTGTGAGGCAGACTGTTATTGGCGGCCGGATTGTTCTGGGATCCCACGACCATCTGAGGACTGGCCTCGTCGCCGCTGCCCGAGGACAGCTCGAACGGCGATTGCGCCCGGCGACCGCGCGACGACAGGTTCAGCGCGCTCGTGGTGTCCAGGTGATGCATCGCCGGGTGCGAGTACGGATACTGGAAGCTCTCGGTCTCCGGGTAAGCGGTCGTCTCGGGCACGTAGAGCTGCGAGGCCGGTGATCTCGGTGAACGGGCGCCGCTCACCGGCTGATGGATCACCGAGGTGTGCACCGGGCTCGGCGTGCGCGCGTAAAGAAGCGCCGCCGACGTCGGCAGCTTCGCGCGTTTCACGCTGATCGTGGGCTCTGCGGGCAACGCCGCTAGCACATGTTCCGTGCTAATCACGGACTCGCCGCAGATCCCGAATTTGTCGCGTATCGCGTCGAGCTGTGCCTTGAGAATGTGATTCTCCTTGCTGAGTTCCATCACCCGTTGTTCCAGGACCATGTCGTTGAAACGGCGCTTTTCGCGCGATCTCTTGGCCGCCTCGTTGTTGCGCCTGCGACGGTCCCAGTAGCTGTCGTCCTTCTTGTTATCGGGGATGAATTCGCGCTGCTTACGTTGCGAGAACAGCTCCTTCCGTATGTCGAAGTTGGGCGGAAAGTTCTCAGGATGCGTCTGCGACGCGTCATGATGATGATGTTGTTGTTGTTGTTGCTGCTGCTGCTGCTGCTGTTGTTGCTGCTGCGGCTGCTGAGCCTGGTGGTGGTGATGGTGATGCGGCGGTTGGGGCTGCTGCTGTTGCTGCTGTTGCGGCGGCGGGGGCTGTTGCTGCGGCTGATGCTGATGTTGCTGCTGGATCGCAGCCGGGGGTCCGCCGTGATGGCCGGGATGCGTGAGGGGCACCGTGAGGGGTCCATGGGCGTCATGGGGCCCACCGTGGGGCGCGCCGTGGCCGCCGCCGTGCGCCATTGTGTGCGTGGCCGGCATGTTGCTGTTCAGGCACGCGGTCTCACCATTGATGGGCGATCCACTTTGGCGGGCGACAAACTCTGCCACCATAATTTGTCTTCTTAGTACATCTGGAACAAGAGAGAAGGGCACTCGGTCAGCTAATTGGCCGAGATGAAGATATCGCCACGCGGTTTTCGCAGCTCGCGGCTCAAACTCGCGTGCGCGACCAACGGTCTTGGGGCTTATTAACGGCGATGACGAAAGTCAAGTAGCATGCCAGACAACAGCGATAACACATACGTCAGAGAGAGGGCTGGCTGACGATCGGATTACGTATCGTTCGGCGTATCGAAAAGGAAGGAGGAGTATCTCGAACAGCTTATTATCAATCATGTTTTAGATTTAGCAGAAAAGAGAAAATTTTGAATTGCAAAGGCTTCTCCAGAAGCTCTCCCGTAGTTCTGAAGAACCGACGTTCTCTATCCCTTTTCAAGTAATGACCCGAAATGATTTGTAAATAGACTCTCTGCGCGATTGAACGCGCAGAAGAATCGTTATTGACCGCATATTTTATTTTTTTATTTACGCGGCCGCTTCTGACGTCGAAGCGCGGGAGGGAGAAGCCAAAGATAAAGAATTCCGAAAGATCGAGAGACACTCGCGATCGTATTGCCAACGAGCGCACGTCTCTCGTCCGAAGTTGCAAAATAGCCTTGGGTAAGGTCGCGCCTCGCCAAGGACGAAGGTGCCAGTGAACTCGGCTCGACGAGTCTTTCGCTTCACCTCTGACTTAAAAAAAAAAATTCATCGTTATTTCGTGAATTTTTGTGCAACGATTTCGAGCCAGATCTCCTTTGATCTTTCCAATCCGCAACGATTTCACGAGACGCCACGGTGAACTCGAATTCCCGTATTGTACAGTTAATCAGCCAATTAACGATGGCTTCTTCGAGACAAAATTCTCCAATTTTGACAACGAAGATGGGGACCAACGTGACGTAATCCGAATAATTAAGTTGCCCCACGTTGATTAAATCGATCCGTGATTAAGCGCCACGAGGCGGGAACGAGCGAGTGTCTCTCCTCGTACGTTTATTTTTAACTCGCGATCGTGGATGAAAATACTCTCCGCCGGCATCGCCTTCGCGTACGTACGCAAGACTTAATCCAAGCGGCGGACGTGCGACGATTACGCAACCGCGCACGTGCGTTCACCGAGCCGCTCCACGTGTTTTGTATGTGGAGCGACCACCAGTCGTCGTCGCAACGCCGGAAAACACACATACATTTGTCCGGCCTTCGATATTTATTGCACAAGTCCCGGTGCTCTTCGAAACCATTAGCGTGAATGTATTAATTACAATCGCGAAGACGTGCACGAGAAAGACGTCTTTTTTCCCACGTGTTTTTTTTCTCTCTCTTTTTCTCTCTCGGGGGTCGGTCGCAGGCCGATTGAGAAGATCGCTTTGCGTACAGCCGAGCGTGGCGCGATTCGTCGCGCGTGGCCTGTATAAAGAGTCCACTTTTACGACGAGATAAGTATCGTTACGTAAATCGGCCGGGTTCCATATGCGAGAATATTTTAATCATTCGTAATAGAGGCGCCGCGTTGTGTGTGTCAACCGCATCTCTTATCGCCACCGCGATAATCGTGCGCGAGCTCGATTTCGTAAAAAAAAGAAATTTACACCGTCCCGACACGAACCCAGTCGACATGTTCGAAATTCCATACTGCGAATTTATAGTTTCCATTTGTCGAAGAAAAATAGAATAGGTTAAAAAAAAGTCTATTCGACTTATTTTCCACGAAAAAAATTTACGCTTACTTGAATTTCGTTACGTTCAGTTTTCTATACTCGCTTCCTAGTTCTCTTTATATCGGATTTTTGTTCGGACAACACGCTCATTGCGCTATCAAGTCATAGTCAATGGCGGCTAATAAGTTCTTGACAGTAAAACGTCACTTGCACGTTGTTATGCAACTATTGATGAACTTTAGCTCCTGCAGCAACACAAATGATACAGCGTTTCGCGCGACAGACGGATGTAATCGCGCGCGTTATATAAGTCGCGAGCCGCGTTTTATTTCCGCGGAAACATAACGCGTTTATCGTAAGACGCATGCGGCGCGTTAATGAAAGAGCTTCGAGCCTCCGTTGCTGCCGGAAGCTCGTTCTTTCCGCGGAAGATTGAACTCAAACTCGCCAATATATTTGTACTAGTAGACGCAAGTTATTTGTTCGTGCTCGTTCCCGCTCGAGGAGACATGCATAGAGTTCTCGTCCGATTACACGTGCACAATGTTTAACCTGAGACTTAGGTTCTAAGCACGGTGATCCTTTCAATCTTGAAATAATCCGGGCACCCAGATAAGGCAACGATCGCGATGAAACGCACTCGCTTTAACGAGCGAGCACGAACAAATTTATGTTGACGTAAATGTTTTCCTGAACAACATGCTTGTCTTAAAAATCTTTTTCAGTCGTTAAGATATTAAGTCATAATATTTTCTGCGTTATTATCTCTTGAGAAACTCGTTCATGTTCGTCCGTGATTATTCGCACTCGTTCTAGATCCGATTAGTCTAGATCCGACTTAACGGAACAAACAACGCGAACAAACTCCGCCGCGACTCCGAATACCGACGGGTTTACCGACACGACGAGCACATCCCTCTGGATTGCAAAATCTGCGAAATCCGAAACAAAGACAATCTTCGAAGATTCGAGATGGCGCAATGAAGATCTCTAGGATAGACGCAATGAGGATCTCCTGATATGGAAATCGGACGACTCACGCCGGCTCGTGACGCGCGCGCTCGTTACTTAATCCAGCGTTACGCAACACGCCGTCGTGTGTTTTTCAGAAATTTCGGGAGTGACTCATTAATTCCGCGACTATCGCGTTTAACCGGGTCGAATAATTCGCGCTCACGAAACACGGGGGGAGAAAGAACAGCATCGGCATCGTGCGTCATACGTTCGGGAAAAACGGAATAGTGAGAATCGAGAGGGCATGATTCAGGATTTTCGCGATGACAATGCGTATTCGTAACGCCGAAATGAACTTGATTTATCGTGAATTTTTCGCGCACCGCGGTCTGTCCGATTGCGTCCCGTGGTGTGTCTCACCGTCGAAGGACGCAAGACTGGAAGTCGTCCGTCAAAGCGTTCTCTCTCGGGCGAGCCGCATTGCCGGCGTATTACGACACGCTCCGACCGGCTTTGAAAGTCGGGGCGGTCGGTTTCCTCGATATATCAGGGCGCCGCGACACACGGGCAATGAATTATCGAGACACGAAACGAGCCGTTGTGAAATTGAGCAATCTCCTGGAATTCCATCCGCCCAATTACGTGGGACGAGTTTCGCGTGACTCACGTTATCTCGTTCGCCCGAATATCCGACCTGTCAATTTTTCCGCGCCGCGCGGAAAGCCGCCCACGCGAAAGTCATCACGAGATCGCCATCGAGCGTTTTTTTTTTTTTTTTTTCATCGAACACCCGTTGCATCGAGACGATAACGATTACGACAATAACGACCGCGCGCGTCTGTCCGAAAAAGGCGATCGAGACGAGGGAGCGAGAATGACGGAGAGAGAATTTCGAGTTATTTTCCTCGGTCGAGTAAAATAAACGTTTCTACGTTACATACCAATTAGGAAGGAATCGCGGTTGATATTGCAACTTTGCGAAATCCCCGATGGACTCGCTCCAAGAACTCGCGGACTTCCGCCCACGGCGGACGACCTCTCGCGACAAAGCGCGCTGTCTCTCTCTCTCTTTCTCTCACTTCTGCGTTTTGAAATTAGCTCGAAATTATTTCGGTGACTCGTAAATCGCTTCTACGATCCTGTCAGCGCGTCTATTTCCAAGCGTGCGATTCACGCAAAGTCGCGCTTATTGTCGCGCGCCACGACCGACGGAGCGAAGTGGCGCGGGGAGAGAGGAGATGTCGTGACTCGCGGTTCACGCTTTTCTAATTAAGCATGTAAACAACGTTGTTGACCACCGGGAGCGGACGCGACGCGCGCGAAGCACGCGTATCCGTCCGATGTCGCGGTCAGTTAATATAATTCCGACGCAAATCTCACAAACAACCGATGCCGCGCGGCTCGCGCGTTTTGCGTCGCCTCGCCTCGTGACGCACGCGGAAACTCGCAACGCATCGCGTGACGTACGCCGCGTGTGTGTGACCGGGGAATCACGTTCCGTCCTTCCGCTTCGACAGACGCGGAATAATCGACTCCCGATTTGCGCGCGTCGGTCGCCCAAATCTCTCACCGGAAATCTCCCTCTTTAATTTCCCGAATTTTCACAATTAACCGCGATCAAACCTCTCCCGAACGGAAGTAACTTCTGGCGTAAACAAATCGCAGATCGGCACGCAAATACGCGATATTTATCTTATCTGCGAAATGAAATTATTATTCATTGTTCCGCGGGAACAAATAGTAGACTGACACACTTATCGAAATTAAAACGGCAATAAAAGCACGAAGAAGATAGACGCTTCTAACGTCATCCCCCCTCTCCCACCGGTCCCTCTCCCCACTATCTCTTTTTTTCTATCTTGATCGTGATCCTTGATCTTACGATTATGAAACAATTGCGTCACGTATAAATCAAGGAAGATGTACGTAAAGGCCCATTCTGCCATTCAAATCGAGACGGTCTTTAGACGGATCAACATGACGTCAAAACGTTATTTCTGTTATTTTTATTAATCGATGCAGGTGCCTTCCGCGGAAATGAATGCTTATGAGATTCTAACGCATTCTATGAACTAATGAGAATGTCATTACGCAATCCCATTGATCTCGTTTTTTCATATATCATTACTCGGAGCGAACGGTGTATCGCGCTGCCTAATTAATTAGCCGATTCTAAAATTCCATAACAAGGTTCGCGTGCGATCAGAAGCGTGGAGATCCTCCAGCCCTCTGTCCCTCCCCACGTCTTTCGTTGCGTCGTGAGCGTCGTGAGATAATGCGTGTGACACACGCGTCAATGCGCAGAAACGATTTCGTTTGTGTTTCTCGCGAGCGCTATTTCGCGAGCGAGGAGTCATCGGGAAAACGTTAAACGAAATTGAATCACGTTAATCGGCATCGCTTTTCTCGCGATCGTT